AAAATAGGATCGCATCCAGTTCTTGGTAAAGTATATCCGCAGTCTAACAATAAGCTATACCGCGATTCACAGCATGTCTCGATACCATTTACTTCTCAGCTTGTCGGTTACCTTGAGAATAGTTGTTGCTACTCTGGGATTTATATACTTGTCTCCCAGATTCGTGTGGAGGTGGTTTGTGGGCTTTCCCTGATTTCAAGTTCAAACTTGTTAAATCCACGTTGCAGCATTGTTTTTCGTACTCTCTCACCAAGTTTATCCTTATAATTAGGGAAAGTCCCCAACCCGCCTCCTCGAATTTTGGGAGCCGATCATAGCTGTCTTATTATGTCTTAACTTATCGAGCGACTTATTGCGAAAATTCTCGAATTAAAACCAGTCAGTATAGTATTTATCAGATCTCACTTAAATCTAGAAACGGGTCGGATCCACTCACTGAGAAATTGTCAACATATTCCTTCTCATAAACACCAATTTTCCAGATATGTGTCGAAAGGCCTTGGTCGGGAATTACCGGAGGATTGGCTCGTCCAAGTAGCAGAGGCGGAGGAATTTGAGGCACAAACTCGCGGTCCACTCACGATCTTATTTGTAAGGCTCTCGAATACGAATTCGTTCAAGAGACCTCCCATCCCACATACGGATGTGAAAGGTGAGTCGCTCTGGTTGGCGCATCTCATCTAATAACAATGCTTTAGTAGGGGAAGAGGGGCGCCAAGAAAGCTACTCCACAGGTATAGTTTTGACCGAAACCGGTTGAGTGTCAAAAATTGACATCAAATTCTAACTCAGTTTATACATAAATAAATATGTATTCAGTACTCTTTCTTCTGTTCCCTTTAGGGTTTCTTTTAGTGCTCTCAACTGGAGCCACCCCTGCAGATGCTGATCTCATCAAATTGAGGAAAGATCGTTATCCTTTGCAGCATGCGGAAACGGTAATAGTTGAATCTTTTCTATTTATTATTCTATTATCATGTGTTACAGCTTTCTGTTACTTCTAAAGCTCTCGAACCGAAATGTGATGTCATAGTCGTTGCATTCGAATCCTCTAAAGACCTGCATATTCGAGCGACAGCAGATGATCCTATTTTTGAATCGCTCAAGGCCGATATGAGGAAATTCTATGCTGACAACCCTAGTGATAGAAGAGTCCAGATCTATGTCAGTCAGTTCACTCTTTTTGGCATATTTTGATCATGCAGTTATTGATTTATCTGATCATTTGACTACCGTCTCTTTCCTACTCATATCGTAACTGCCATTTTATGCTTTGCCCATGTGCTCAAATGTCTTCATCGTTGTTTAGGAAGTTTTATCTGGAGGAGCGTATGCGTTGTGTGATGCTGCTGGGAATTGGTTCCGAGTCATTGCTGTGGTAAGATATGTTGCACTTACAAGCAAAATACTAACTAAATCTGACTTTTTATTATTGCCACGTATCTGGAATTAGAACCAGATTTATCGAACCTATTTATGTCTCCAACTGCGATGTATTATTTCGAAAGGAAATATGAGCTTTCTATGGGTAATCAATTCCACTTCAGATGGAAGAACAGCTTGTAGAAAAATACAGGACAAGCAAATTGCAGCAAATCTTCTGATGTTAGTGATCCGTCATACTTCACCCAAAAAAGCGCGAAAACGCGCGCAAACGCGCGCAAAAACCTAAAAGCGCCAGAACGCGCGCAAGTTATAAAAACGTATTTTGCTTTATTTTCTGCGTCTGCATTTAAAAATAATGTCAGAAATCTACCAAATCTAAGCCGGAT